AGAAATTGTTAAAATTACATAATTACGTGTAAAATGTACGAATATTTTGGCTAAAAAAATTCTAATAATGATAGAAGTCTACTAAAAGCATGACTAGTTTTTCCTACAAGATATTCACTCACTAACATGCCTTTGTTTCACCCCTTGTATAGGATTAGATGTTGGATCTCCCTATTCGCATATTGGTATAACTATGCCTTCGCCCGGACCACGTAATTGGCCTGGTAGTCCATCTGTACCAGGTCCCTCCCCCATACCACGTCATGGCTTAATAGCCCATTCACCCGGTAATCCAGCTATTCATTCACCGGGCAGCAGCGGGGGCACTGCTCCCGTATCTTCAGCTTCTGTTGGTAAGTCAGTATTATTGTGTTTTGTTTTGACATGTTATATATATATATATATATATATATACGGTATATATATTGAATATACTATAATTTGGGTTGATTTGAAAACACTGTGGATTCTGTGACTGTATTGTATGCTGTGACTGTGACAATGCTGACCATTGTACACTTTGAAAAAGCCTATGTAATTAAACAGAATAACACAAATCTGAACATGATTTGTTCAAATATTTGTTGTTAGCCGCAAAATGATCATTGTTTAAATAATGTCAATTGCTTACCACATAGAAACCATTATAATTCTGTGTCATTTTGTTTGTTGAGCTGATCATTTATGGATGTAGATGAGAAATCCAGCTTCTATCTAATTCACATAACTTACAAACTCATCTATGTTCATGATCTTTTTTTGCACTTCTCATGTATGACTTATAGGACTGCGTAGCCCACCGTCCAGGATTTTACCTCAGAGACCCTGGGCAGCTTCCATTCCCACTTTACTCTCCCATGATGCATTGCATACCTTATTTACCCCGGCACCACCACCTGGTATGGTTGGTGGCCCCTCGGCCTACATGTGCTGTCCAATGGAGAGATTCTTGGGATCTGTGTTTATGAAAAGACATCTGCTAAGGGTCATACAGACTGATGATGCAGTGAGTGTTACTTCTAATTTTGAACAATGTTTTG